GACAGGAATTTCTTCCCTGGCTTTTTGAATGCTGTTGGGAGGTCTTCTCCTTCGTGCGCATGATTTGCATCTTTGTCTGTACACGCTTATGTTTTCAGCCTTACTGCCTCAGCACCGGGTTGTTCTCTGTGATTTTTCATTGGGTCTCGCAGCTGTGGAGTGGATGCATAATGATAATACTGATCCGAGGGGATACGGGAATACAGGGGGAGGGGAGACAGGGAGGGAAAGAGAATTTCGGGAGTAGCTCATGAAGATGGGAGGGGAGAGCTCTCGAATGCACTGAGATTGCATAGCTCATCTTAAAGGCAATTTATTTAACCATGCTGGGGGCAGGGGGCGGAATGTTCTTAAATTGATGCGGGAGCAATTGTACAATTCTCCTTGATGTGATTGAGTGATTATTGGATTCTATGATATGTAAGTTACTTGCCAATCAAACTGCTGGGGGGGGGGAAATACCATGACTTAGGTCAGGCGCACCTTCAAAAATGCCCTCTAAGTGGCCTACCGACTGTGTCACACTTTAAAGAAGTCTTGTGCAACAGATTTGCCCAATGCAATACAACGTTGTTGTTTTTTTCTTGACTGCTGCTTCCATAAGCGTTCATGGTAGAACCAGAAAATGAGATCCCTGGCCACTGTAAGTTTTGGTCCATTTACCACCCTTACTGGTCCAGTGGTGGGGAATTTTGTTTTCTTTGTGCGGAGGTGTAAGCCATACGGTGAGTTTTTTTCATCTTGGTTACTAAGTGCTTCACATCTTTTCCCATCTACAGCATACAAATCTTTCTGAGCTCTCTCTGGGAAACTCCAGGTGGAGCAGAAAGCAGAAACGCGTGAGGACTCACAATGTGAAGAACCAGGCCTGAGCCCACAAACCGTTTGCAGACAGAATTTTATTTTCTGCCCTCTGCCAAGAAGGTTACATAAGCTTCACTTCAGAATCACCCCAGACTCCCAAGAAAAGGAACACACACACACACACACACACACACACA